CAGCGGCTGCTGTGGCCAGGAGACACGCCCCTATGTTCAGGTAGCAGGACCAGGACAGACTGGTGTAGGGTCCAATGCGATAGAACGTCACCATCCCAATCACCAGCACGAAACCTGAACAGAAAAGCAGGGAGAAGAAAATTCAGGATGGGTATTGTTCCTGCAGTTCCTCCTATAATTCCATAAGCCCACAATTACAAAAACTTGTTGCAGTCTTGCCCAGTAGTGTGTAGTTTTTGATTATCAGTAGTGGATACACATTTTTAGATTCTGGCAATAAAAAAATTAAAAATGTACAAACCTAAAATGTTATTCAGGCTTTCTGCTTTATTCCCCAAGCGTGCCCCATGAAATTCCAGAGCCAATAAGGAAAAGAAATTGGGTGTTGTTAAAAGGGACAGAGAGATGCCCTTAGCTTTGAGCTAGCAGCAGGAAATCCCATCTGTACCAGGAGTTGCTTTCTCTGCACCTTCAGCACACAGTGAACATAAGAAGCCAATGTTGGATCAGGCCCATCCAGTCCAACACTCTGTCACACAGTGGCCAAAAATACTAGGTGCCATCAGGAGGTCCACCAGAGGGGCCAGGACAAAAGAAGCCCTCCCACTGTTGCCCCTCCCCAGCACCAAGAATACAGAGCATCACTTGCCCCAGAGTCCCTATCTATACCTTGTGGCTAATAGCCACTGATGGAACTCTGCTTCATATGTTTATCCAATTCCCTCTTGAAGTTGTCCATGCTTGTAGCCACCACCACCTCCTGTGGCAGTGAATCTCATGTGTGAATTCTTTGGATGAAGAAGTACTTCTTTTTATCCGTTCTAACCCAACTGCTCAGCAATTTCATTGAGTGCCCATGAGTTCTCATTGTGAGAAAGGGAGAAAAGTACTTCTTTCTCCACCTGCTCTGTCCCATGCATAATCTTGTAAACCTCGATCATGTCACCCCTCAGTCGTCATTTCTCCAACCTAAGAGGCCCAAGCGCTTTAACCTTTCTTCATAGACAAAGTGTTCCAGCCCTTTTATCATTCTAGTTGCCCTTTAACGCACTTTTTCCAATGCTATAATATCCTTTCTGAGGTGTGGTGACTAGAATTGCACACAGTATTCCAAATGAGGTTGCACCATTGATTTATACAGGGGCATAATGATACTTGCTCATTTGTTTTCAGTTCCCTTCCTAATAATCTCGAGCATAGTGTTGGCCTTTTTTATTGCAGTCACACACTGTTTTGACATTTTCAGTGAGTTATCTACTACGACTCCAAGATCTCTCTCTTGGTCAGTCTCTGCCAGTTCGGACCTCATCAACGTGCATTTATAGTTAGGATTTTTGGCTCCAATGTGCATCACCTTGCACTTGGCCACACTGAACCCCATTTGCCATGTTGACGTCCACTCGCCCATCCTCAACAGATCCCTTTTGAATGCCTCACAATCCTGATTCTCACCACCCTGAAGAATTTTGTGTCATCCGCAAATTTAGCCACTTCACTGCTTACTCCCAACTCCAAATCATTAATGAACAAGTGCTTACGGGTTTTCAAACTAAGTGCAACCATGAACACTAACCATGAACCTTCAAAGACTTATGTGGCCTGGGACCAACCTATCTGAAGGACCGCCTCTTCCCATATGTGCCCTGAAGAGCCTTGCGCTCACATGATCAACATCTGCTGGTTACCCCCAGCTGAGGGACGTCCGCTTAGCTTCGATCAGAACCAGGTTTTTTTCTCTCCTGGCTCCAGTCTGGTGGAATCAGCTCCCACTGGAGGTCAGGGCCCCGTGGGACCTTTTATCATTCCGCAGGGCCTGCAAAATGGAGCTGTTCTGCCAGGCCTTTGGTTGAGGTGGTGGGCATCCATCATGGCCTCCCTGCTCTCAATCTGCCTCCCAATCTGCTGAAATGGCTCACTGATTCCACCTCTGGCTCTAACAGATGTGTAACGAGTCTTGGACTCGGCTTCTGTGATCTGCCCTGAGCCTGCTTTGGAGAGGGCGGAATAAAAATCTCAAAAATAATTTTTTTAAAAAAAAAAAACTTAGCTTTTAATTTTAGAACCAGTTATGGTTTGTGGCACTTTGCTCTAGTTTTAGCCTTCCAACACATTAAATCAAGTCTGTCTTCACTTGATTTGAAGCTGTCTCTCAATGCCATATGTTAATCGCTAGCACTTTATAGGATGTAGGTTAGTTTTAATGAATTGTTTTTTATATTTATGTATTTATTGTATTGTGTTTTTATGCTGTTAGCCGCCCTGAGCCTGCCTTGGCAGGGAGGGTGGGGTACAAATCCGAGCAAATAAATAAATAAATAAATGCTTGCTTGCTGCCTGTATCCTTTTGGCAGCCATTTTAATGTGATGGCAGGCAAGGACCCACACAGCCCATATTTATTGATGGTGTAATAGCATTTTATTTTAAGTATTAACATTTGTTTTGTGCTAATCATATCCTCTGGTGAGAGGATGGTTTCTTACATGGTTTTAGGAGACTTTCAAATAACCTTTTAAGCAGCAGTATGTGACTATTTTGGGGTATTTAAATCAACCCCTCTCTATCATTGGCCATGAATTATAAAAAGCCTAAGTGGCGATGGCTTTGGGCTTTGTGGGTGTATCCCCCTGTGAATCAGTGGCCTGCCACGCACTCCATGCCAGTGCAGGTTCTATTTTTTTCCCTTTTAACAAAGGAAGATAACCATATTTTTATTGTCATGTTAAAAATCACATGAATCATGCGGAGATGCTCACACTGATAGCTTATTATATGGGCTGCGTCCATGCACTTGTATTTGAAGGGCCTCAGATGCTTTTGAGGAACATCTGCAGAAAAGGGGATGTCATGGAGTGGGGAAAGTACACCCCCCCCCGTGGGAAATGTCTAGATAGAAGAATTTATCTCCCGCTGTGTAATGGCAGGAAAGCTTCTGCTATCAAAGTGCAATCATAGTTTGTATTTCTGTGGCGCATTCTTCCCATGGTCTTGAAGATCATTACAAACATCTCGAATCCCACTGCTGCTTCCCGCTTTGTGTGTATCCTAAATATCCGGTTATTCATTTTCCTCAGATGAGGAAACTGAGGTGAGGAGATCTGTCTAGCCATTCAGGAAATCTGTTTAAGGGTCAGAGGCAGAGAACGCAAAGCCCATGACCCTGAAGTGTTGTGAGACTATCCTCCTTTCCTTCAAAGTGTGCATCGGTAATGCCCCATTCCTTGACGGACCCCCTGCGTGATTCCATTTAGTACCTCTTCCTCCGCCCCGCCCCCCTGAACTGCCGTTATTAACTTTTAATGGAAGTAATTTATAGATCCAATTAGCCGGACGAGAACAATATACAAAGAGGCAAATCCATCTGGCATAATAGGAAAAAAAATCCGGCTTCCCCTTCTCTCATAAACACTTCCTTAACCACCACCACAACAGAAGGAATTCACATAGACAAAAGGCCCCCTTTGCAAAAGGGGAGTAGAATAAACAAAGGCCAGTAAACAGACATAAAGATCTGCAGATACCATTTCCGTTAGGTTTGTGTGCAAGGACAGGTCAGCTGTGAAGAAGCTGGGTCCCTAAGCTTTCGTAAGTCTATCGTTGTGGGTTAATGGATTTGCTATAGAATGCTCCCTGATACAGGTGGGCTCTCTTTTTCCATCCTAAAGTGCTGAGAGGATAAGAACATAAGAAACGCCAATGTTGGATAATGCCAAAGGCCCATCCAGTCCAACACTCTGTCACACAGTGGCCAGAAATACCAGGTGCCATCAGGAGGTCCACCAGTGGGGCCAGGACATTAGAAGCCCTCCCACTGTTGACCCCCTCCAAGCACCAAGAAGACAGAACATCACGGGTGAAGAAGTACTTCCTTTTATCCGTTCTAACCCGACCGCTCAGCAATTTCATGGAGTGCCCACGGGTTCTTGTATTGTGAGAAAGGGAGAAAAGTACCTCTTTCTCTACCTGCTCTTTCCCATGCATAATCTTATAAACCTCAATCATGTCACCCCTCAGTCGTCGTTTCTCCAAGCTAAAGAGCCCTAAGCGCCTTAACCGTTCCTCATAGGGAAAGTGTTCCAACCCTTTTATCATTCGAGTTGCTCTTTTCTGCACTTTTTCCAAAGCTATAATATCCTTTTTAAGGTGTGGTGACCAGAATTGCACACAGTATTCCAGATGAGGTCGCACCATTGATTTATATAGCGGCATTATGATATTGGCTGATCTGTTTACAATACCCTTCCTAATAATCCCCAGCATAGCATTGGCCTTCTTTATTGCAGTCACACACTGTCTCGACATTTTCAGTGAGTTATCTACTACAACTCCAAGATCTCTCTCTTGATCTGTCTCTGCCAGTTCAGACCCCATCAACGTGTATTTATAGTTAGGATTTTTGGCTCCAATGTGCATCACCTTGCACTTGGCCACATTGAACCCCATTTGCCATGTTGACGCCCACTCGCCCAACTTTGACAGATCCCTTTGGAGTGCCTCACAATCCTCACTGGTTTTCACCACCCTGAACAACTTCGTATCATCCGCAAATTTAGCCACTTCACTGCTTACTCCCAACTCCAAATCATTAATGAACAAGTTAAAAAGCAGTGGACCAAGTACTGATCCCTGTGGTACCCCACTGCTTACACCCCTCCACTGGGAGAACTGCCCATTTATACTCACTCTCTGTTTTCTATTAATTAGCCAGTTTTTGATCCATAAAAGGACTTGTCCTTTTATCCCATGATTTTTGAGCTTGCTTAGGAGCCTTTGATGAGGAACTTTATCAAAAGCTTTCTGGAAGTCAAGGTAAACAATATCTATTGGATCCCCCTTGTCCACATGTTTGTTCACCCCCTCAAAGAACATTAACAGGTTAGTGAGACAAGATCTTCCCTTACAGAACCCATGTTGAGTCTGCCTCAATAGGTTTTGTTCATCTATGTGCCTACTAATTCTTTCCTTAATAATGGTTTCCACCAATTTACCCGGTATCGACGTCAGACTGACAGGCCTGTAATTTCCCGGATCTCCTCTGGAACCCTTTTTAAAGATGGGAGTGACATTAGCTACCTTCCAGTCCTCAGGAATGGAGGCTGATTTTAAGGAGAGATTA